TTTGATAAGATCCAACACTTATTCATGATAAAAAAAACCTTACAGAAAATTGGAATAGATAGTCTTTACCTCAATATGATAAAAGCCATCTATGACAACCCAACAGCCAGCATCAGATTAAGTGACCAAAAACTTAAAGCCTTTTTCCTAAAATCAGGAACAAGACAAGGATTTCCATTATCACCACTCCTATTCAACATAGTGCTGAAAATACTAGCCAAATCAATTAGACGAGAGAGTGAGAAATAAAAGGAGTAAGGATAGGAAAAGAAGAAATTAAATTATCATTATTTGCAGATGACATGATACTCCACATAGAAGACCCCCAAAACTCCTTGGTATAATAAATAAATTCAGTAATATACCTGGACACAAAATCAACACTCAAAAATCAATAGCATTCCTATACACTAACAACAAAACCACTGAGAAAGAAACAAGAGAAGCCACACCCTTTATAGTAGCATCTAACCATATGAAACACTTAGGAATTAATCTAACAAAAGAAGCAAAAGATCTATTCAGGGAAAATTATCATACCCTGAAAAAAGAAATTGAAGAGGACCTCAGAAAATAGAAAGACATCCCTTGTGCACAGATAGGAAGAACAAACCTAGTGAAAATGGCCATTCTCCCAAAATTGTAATACAGATTTAATGCAATCCCAATCAAACACCACTAGCATACTTCACAGATCTAGAGAAATCACCTAAAATTCATCTGGAGCCAGAAGAGACCCAGAATAGCAAAGGCAATTCTAAGCAACAAAGGCAAGGCAGGAGGCATCAAAATATACAGCAAAGCTACTGTAATAAAATCAGCATGGTAGTAGAATAAAAACAGACCTGAAGATCAATGGAATAGATTAAATGGTACAACTACAACTACAAACACACTCAGCCACCTTGTCTTTGATCAAGGGGCCAAATACATCCCCTGGAAGATAGTCTCTTCAATAAATGGTGCTGAAAAAAATTGGCTATCCATATGCAAAACACTAATACTAGACCCATGCCTATCACCATGTACTAAACTAAAGTCTAAATGGATCAAAGATCTAAATATTAACACAGAAATACTAAATTTGTGGGAAGACTAAGTAGGTAGAAATCTCGAAGACATAGAGGTAGGTAAAGAATACATGAACAAGAATCAAACCGCATGCAAAATACATCACAAAATCGATAACTGGGATCTTGTCTTATTAAAAACTTTTGCATGTCAAAAGAAGTTTCCAGCATAGCCAAAAGAAAACCAGCAAATTGGGAAAAAATCTTAGTGACAAAGCACTTCTGTCTAGAATATATAAAGAGTTAAAAAAAAATCAGATTCCCAAAATTCAAAGATTCATTCCAAAAATGCACATCTGAGATGAATATACAGTTCTCAGATGAAGAAATACAAATGGCAAATAAATACATGAAAAAAATATTCAGCATCATTGGTCATTAAGAGAAATGCAAATCAAAACAACACTGAGGTTCCATCTCACTCCAGAAAGAATGGCCAGGATCAAGAATGCTATCAACAACAAATGCTGGAGAGGCTGCAGAAGAAAAGGAACTCTTCTGCACTGCTGGCGGGAGTGTAGATTGATGCAACCACTGTGGAGATCAGTTTGGAAGTCTTCAAAAAGCTGGGTTTGGAAGTCCCATTTGACCCAGCTATCCCACTTCTCGGCATATTCCCAGAAGAAATGAAAACATCATACCACAGTGATTTATGTGCACCCATGTTTATAACAGCACAATTTGTAATAGCTAGATCTTGGAAACAACCTAAATGCCCATCAGCTGAGGAATGGATAAAAAAGTTGTGGTATTTTTAAACAATGGAGTACTACTCAGCTATAAAGAAGGATCACATTGAGATATTTATAAGTAAATGGATGCAACTGGAGACCATACTCATAAGTGAAATAAATCAAACTCACATTTAAATACCATACAGTCTCCCTAGTGTAAGGAATCGTAAAAGTACATAAGATACACAAAACTCAATAATTATATTGAAAGGATAAGAATCTGCTTAAAGGGAAAAATAATATCTCAGAGAAATTGGGGAAAAAGGAAAAGGGAAAAGAAAAAATGTCTAAAATTATATAAACACACTTAGGATAGCCTAGATGATTGCGCTACAAACTCTATAAGTTCTTGGAACAAAATATTTAGAATTCATAGGATTGGAACAACTGTGTATATTATTGTATAGTGATCTAAGGAACTCTTGAAGATCATTATGTAAGATAACAACCCTAGTTATGCTCATACCACCTTGTTTTGATATTGTTAGTGTTCTGGGCTCTTTGCTATTGTTGTTTATGTCTTTTTCATTTCGTGTTTTTCTAGGAATTTGCTTTGTTTTATCTTTGTTTTGTCTTTCCCTCTAATACAGAAAGGATAGGTATACATGTAGAGACTCATGCATGCATAGAACTTCGAAAAAGTTTATGAGAATTGATAATATAATGCACAATAAAATGAACAGCTACTTTGAAGAAAAAGAGACACTAAGGTACCCAGTGCTGATTCAGTAGCATCATGATGTGAAATCCAGCAATACTGGATTTCTTTGTTCAGAGTGATTTTAGTCTGTTTTGTATTGTTTAATTTCAACATACATGAAGGTATGATCAGCTATTTTGAAGAAAATGAGAGACTTTATGGCAGCCATTGTTGACTTCCTTATTGTCTGGTCTTGAAGACCTAAAATGCCTTCATCATCCCATTCTGATCAGTTCTATACTATTTTTTGTGAATTCATTGTATGTGAAGATATGGACAACTATTTGGAAGAAAACAAGAGACAATATGATAGACAGTGAAGATCTCCGGTTGTCTTGCTTTGAAATCTGTGTCTCTTACACTGTTATGATCTGTTTTGTTCTGTTTAATTTTACCCTCTTTAAAAATAAAAATAAATTTAACTTTGTAATAAGAATATTCATAAAATAATAATTATTCCAATTAAAATATTAGTATTCAGTAAATGTCCACACCATTTGTATCTAGGATCATAGATAATTTCTATAACTTTAATCACAAGATGTAGGTCAGCATTTATCTCTAATGGATAACACTGTCATCAAAATTAAAAGCATGCTCTGAATCTATGCTTTCTTCAAAAATCAACTAAAGTTTTAAAACATAAGGCTAAGATCTCCTTTGCTTCTTCATATGCTGCTGCTTCATGGTCAGAGAAGATGTGATTTTTTTTTTGTCTTTTTCATTTTTAATAGTACCAGGGATCAAACTCACAATCGCACACTTGCAAGACAGGCGCTTATGCCACTGAGCTAAATCCCCAACCCCTAAGATGTGATTCTTGAAGTCATTAAATGGGCCACTATGAAAGGCAGTCCCTGCTTAGAACTATATTCCTGGCCTAAGAATTCATTTTTAGCTAGGAGAAAGCTTATCCTCGAATACTTTAAATTACTGGCTTTCTTGAGGATTTCCTTAAATGTGAAGCAATGACATCTTTTAAATTTGCCAGAAGAGTATTAATTTGCATTATAGAAATGTGGTGCAGTTGAAATGTCTGTTCCACACTTCTCTAACATCAAACAAACATGATTCTCTCTCTCATAGTTATTTTCTTGACAGTATCCACCATAGGGATTTAAATTCCTCCAAGGATCACTGAATACGTATTCACTGTACCTATTTTATTCAAGAATCTGTTCTAAAGTCTGGAGGTCCAGTGGTGAGCACAAGCTAGGATGCCATTCTCAAAGACTCTCCATTCTGATTGTGGATACTGACAAAAACAAGCAACTCAATACATTCAGTATATCAAGTAATTATACTCATTTTGAAGAGAATAAAGCCAAGAAATGTGGTAAGACAGAGAAATGAGACAGGGGGCTGACAAGCCACAGGCTGGGGAGGCCACTTTAGGGAGGACGGTCAGAGGAGATTTTTCTGGAGAGGTAATAATGATCCTAGATACAAATGCAGTGAGGAAGAATTGGTGGTGGAAAATCTGGGAAAGATTGCCAGGCAGACAGGACACAAGGGGACAGGGGGTACAAAGGCCTTGAGATGAAGGTAAGTTTGGTTTTCTTGAGGAACAGAACCAAAAGTGGCTAGGGTAGCCTAGGAAATACAGTCAGGGAAAGTGTTACATGCCACTGCTGTTTGAGGTTGACTCAGCCATACAAGTCACTGTCGGTTAACAAGTCCTTGTTCTTAATGTTTAACATGACAAGTAGCATCCAAAATGCCTCCTAGACAAACATAACTCATCAACCCTCATCTGAGTGTCAATGGAGCCCAGCACACTTGATCAGCAGGAGGTGGAAGGCTGAAGGTTGGGGGAGTAGATAAATTCTGAGAATGGGCTCTAACTAGAAGTCAGCCAATTGTCAGGGAGAGAGGGCCAGAGCATGGCTTCCCAGGAGGCAACTGGGGAAACAGGGCAGGATCAAGGTACAGGGTAGGATGGAAGAGATGTGATGGGCTCCGAGGGAAGAAGCCAAATGCACCATAGACAAGATGTCATAAGCATGTCACCCCTTCTTTGCCTACCATAGGAACCCCAGATACTTACCCTGAGAAGCCAGTGGACTCCCCAGCCCACCAGAACTGTCCCGCAGAACAGCCAGGAAAGCTTCGCTGGCTTTAGTGGAAACCTTAACTGGACTGCTTCCATTGTGCTGTCCACAAACTGTTATGTTGTTTTGGACATGTTTTCTACATAGTCTCGTTTTTCATATAAATACCTCATCTTCTCAAGAGCACTATATTTTCCTTTATGGGGAGAGACTTTTCATTTTCTTCACCAGACATCCTTAGAACATCAGCACAATATTGGGCTCTATCTTTCTCTTCTTTAGAAGGAACCAAATGACCAGGGCAGTGTTTCAGAGGGGCCTGTTCACCTGGCTGCACGCTGCAGAGGAAGGCCAGCTTGCCGATGCTGGCTAAGCGCTTGTGGCCCTGAAATGATACTAACACTTCTGGCTATGAGAGAGGGGAAACTGGGCACGGTGTGCTTACCTGTTCTTCCTGCAGCGAATTGTGAAGGCAAGAAAGAAGAGCATCAAAAGCAATCCACAACTGAGAAAAGTCCAAACAATGCCCAGGAGGGCGGGAGATAACGAAGAGATGGAATGACTGCCGTCCTGGGAGCAGAATAAAGAGAAGCTGTTAGGAATGAAGGATCTTTCACAGGTCAATAGTAGAGCTGAAAAATACATATCATACATGGGCAATTCTTTTTCTTTCTCCTCTCCCCGCTCCCTCCCCTCCAACACGTACATCCAAGCACTTCCAATACCCAATGGCTACTCACAATTGTCCTGCAGAGATCATGAAAGGGACTCCGATCCAGCACCTGGCCAGGGAAACTGTCACAAAATTCAGAGCAGTTTATTTCAGGTTCCATGTCGCCACATGTTTTCTTGGTAGGCACTTATTCAGTCTTGGTTACCCATCAGTAGGGATGCAGACCCAAATCTTTCCTTCAGGGATCCCATTGTGGGGCTGGCTCTTGGCTCGGAATCTGAGATAGACAACCAATTGAGGCAGAAGCGAAGGGTTAGGTCATTAGACTTCTTCATCAGACGTACTCTAACATTAGACATCCTTCAACTAGTCCCCTGCTGCTTATTGTACCATGTTAGAGCGGGCATCTTGGCAACCATTAGGGGACATCAAATAACAGTTTTGGCTCACCAGCAGAGGGCAGTCACTGCTCCGTGCAGTCTTACACTGGGCCCTGAAGCGATAGATTTATTATCCTAACAAGCAATCTCTCTCTCTCTCTCTCTCTCTCTCTCTCTCTCCCTCTCTCTCTCTCACGCTTAAAATATTTTGTTTTTATTTTATTTAGTTATATGTATTATATATAGTTATATACATATATTATAAATGTAATGTTTTAATATTTTAAACAATTATAATAAAAAAACCTTAAAAACAAAGATAAAGCACATCTAACAATTTCTAAGTAAAAATCTCTGTGTTCTCTATTGACACCCTTTTCATGGCCAAGCACTGTAAAAACTTTACTTGTGGCTTATAAGGTACATCTTTCTGTTTCCCCTTTTGAGGATGTCCTGCCTTCCAAGATCTTTCCATGTAGCTCTTGGTTTACACTCTGTTTGATCCTGGCTGTCTCCATGAACAGTCTGTTGGTTCTTAGCCCTTGTCCTGTTAGTCTGTAAAAGGACATTCTGTGTCCAGTCAGGTGGGCTTGCTTTTTACAAAATGGTTGGACTCAGAGAAGAGAGACAGGATACTCAGACAATGATAGGAAAGCTGTAGACATTTCTACTGACTGTGTGGCTGAGATTCTTTCAATATGGATGCATGATCTAAAAAGAAGCCCAAGCTTTCAGAGCAAAGTAAAAAAGATTCAATTTAGTACCAGTAGAAAAGGTTGGCATATACTTTATTTAAAGCAATCACCTCTTGACAGAGAAAATAGATTTGAAATTTTACTGAGGAAATTTAAGGGGATGCTATTGCTGTTCTGTGTTTTTGAAACAGCTTAGACCAGTATTCTTTGATTGTGGAGGACTGGAGAAAAATACTAATTACTATTATTTCAATAGCCATTGAACACAAGGTCCATATTTAAGCCAGAACAATAGTGACAGGTGTAGAATGCCATCTTTGGACTGTGTGTTTAGGCATAAACAATGTAGCACCAGGTGCTACCCATTCACCAGCTTCTAATATGTTCCTGAATTATTTACCAGGCTCATTACAATGAAATCCCAAGAGGACTAAAATCCACTATCTCCCATTAAGACATTTAAATTCTTGTGCAGTCTGGTCAGATTACTGAATGCAAAATGAAGAATCAAATATAAGAGCCTGGCTCTTTGCATTCTAATTTAGTTTGTGTTTAATTGCTGAAAGATATTCTTTTTCTTTCTGTTTTTTTAAAGTTAGATTTTTCCTGTTAAGCCTTTTAGCACAGAAAAATATCATCAGTCACAGAGAGAACTACACTACATGATGGATAGAGAGTTTTTCTATATTGTCCTTTAAATTTTATTAGCAAATTAAGTACACTTACATTTGAACCTGATTAAGTCCATGTATACGCATCTTTACATTATCTGAGAGGTATGTATGTGTACATGTATGGATGTGAATAAGGCTCACGTTCTCACTACTGTTGTGTTGCATAAGATAAAAACAGTGTTCTTCATTTTCAAATAAGGAAACTGAAGTGCACAGAGGTAGACAACTGTGTACTTCAAGTGTGAAAAAGCAAAATTTGAATGTGGGAGTTTGTGTTCTAAGGTCAGTGTCTTCCCAGAATGCATGCACTCTACACGGGGAAGAGACTACAGACTGGCCTCTCTCAAGAAGGTGCCACAGTCCCCTGGTCTTCTGGGGCTTTCTAGGTTTGCTTTCCAGCTGCTTCCCTGAAATGTGGCACATCATAGTGTCTCAAATAAGGCAGTTTTGCATCATGAGGGGGACATCTGGCAAAATTTGCAGACATCTGTAGCTAGCAAGACTTCATCTAGTAAGCAGAGACCAGAGGTCATGCTAACCATCTGCCATTAATGGAATGATAGAGAAAACACAGTATTACCCAACCTCAAATCTCAGTGTGCTCAGGCTGAGAATCCCTGGTCAACACTGTGAGTCTCAGAAGGGCTGAGAGACTTTGTCTAATCATGTGTCTAATCATGTGTGAGAGATTGTGAACATGATGGGTTGTTCATCAAGATACAAAAGCCTAGCAGGGAAACTCTGATTTAGGATAAACTCCTGAGCACATATAAATGTTCTCTTTGAGGACTAAACTCATTGGCATGGAACTTTGACTACGAGGCTCCCTTCAGTCCATGGATATTTAGTGGAGGAATTTTAGAGACCAAATTAATCTCTCATATGAGGCAGGCACCCATCCCCAAAGCTGGCACACATTCACAGAGGTTTGGACATGAGGAGCTGGTCCACAATGAGAGTTCACTTATTGAGGAGAGATAGTTAAGCACCCAGTAGGCTGAGGCAGGAGGATCACAACAAATTCATGGCTAGCCAGGCTACACAGTAAATTCAAAGGCAGCCTGGATTACATAGTAAAACCCTGTCAAAAAAAAAAAAAAAAAGAAAGAAAGAAAGAGATAAAAAGAGAGAGAAGAAATAGTTGGTTTCACAAAATGTTGACTGACCAGGAAATTGATGGGGAATGTCATAAAGGGTAGCGGTGAGGCATGGGACCATAAGATAGACTTGAAATGCATGGATCAGGAAAGAAGGTCTGTCGGGGCTCCCTGAAGAAATCTTCCCCCATGAAGTGAACTGATGGTTATCGACAATAGCAGACCTAAAGTCATGCATGGTAGTACTTGGATTTTACCTGACATAGAACACAGGTGTGATAGTTACCTGAGATGTCAATTTGAGTACAAACACCCGATTAAATTAGATTAGCATAGTTTAGGGTGTGGGTGAAGAGATTTATTAATTATTTGCTGGGATTTACTGGGATGAAGGTCAGCAACCAATAGCCTTGCCTCCTGAATGGTATAAAAGGGAAACAAAGAATGAAGGCTCACTTGATTCTTTGAAGGGCGCTAGTCTTCACCTGTAGCTTGAACACTGTCTCCTGGATTCCAGCACAGACCTTCTAGCCTTCTGATGCACACCCCTAACCTTCCATCACAGACCCTCAGCCTCCTGACATGGACTCACACGGGACACGATGGTGAGCTCAGGCCTTCAGCTGGACCCTTTGTAGCTTCAGCACACAGACAGGCACTTTGCACGTTTCCTTCCCTGACTCTGCAGGCAGCCACTGGAAGCCAATCTTGTAAATTATTTACTTGTATATTTTGCACTGAGTCTGTTTCTCTGGTGAGCACTGATTAAATAGCAGTGGCTCTAAAGAAACAGAATTGTACAGATGAAACCCATCAAAGACTTTAGTGGCTCTTGGAATCAGCTTTCTAACTTGATGAGACATAAAGATGGCAAGATCTCTCCTGATCCTGTGGGGAAACTCACAGTCTTTGGTGTGAACTCTTTATGGTGATGCACAGTGTAGATCCGTTTGATTATCCTAATTCACCACTCGTAAGAGGAAATTTAGCAACTCCATATAAGAAACTTGTTGAATATTTTTGCCAGAGTGAGAAATACAATGATGCTGGCTGGCTGCTGTTAGCATCGCAAGACTAACTAGAGAAAGAAAACAAGGAACTCAAAACATCTAAGGAAATCTAAAGCCTTCTAACTGTGAGGACAGATTAATAAAGGAAAATAAGGAACTCGAAGATTCCAATTTCCAGCTGCAGACACAGATAAAAAATGAAAGTTTCTAAGTTTGTCCTAAAAGAGAAACACCTCTCCTTTAGCAACAGGGCAGGGACTGCAGAAACCCAAAGATAGGCCCTCATCATTTGATTGGCTGAAATGTAGCTTAAGTTTAATATTCCACCTCATAGGCTATCTGAAGTAAAGATGAGGACACTGATTGGAAAAGAATGAGGTCCTATAAACTGGGATGGAGATGTTTGGGAGGATCCTAATTGGATGGAGGATGTTGAGCTCCTAGATGTCAATGAGATTATTTTGCTAGAGGGAGAGGTTTGCCCACCCACAGTGGCACAAGCTACCCCTCGTATACCTGCGGAAACTAATGCTGTGTTGACCAAGCAGGATAACGCTGACCATCTTCAGGACCCACACGCACCACCCACTTTTATCTCTAGGCCCAAAACTAGGCTCAAATTGCAGAAGGCTCATAATGGTGAGGTACATAGTGTGAGCCATGAGGAGGTCTGCTATTCTCCCGAAGAACTTCTTTTGGAGTTTTCGAAGAACTTCTTTTGGAGTTTTCTAACTCTTGTAAGTGCATGTCTGATGAGAAAGTATGGGAATGGACTACAGGTTTGGAATAATGGTGGCAAAAAATGTATACCTGGAAAAGGTTGAGTTTGTTGATGTGGGCCACTGAGATTCTAAATTTAATGTTGCAGCTTGTGGAGTAAAAAAAAGGTATTAATAGTTTATTTGGCTGGGTGGCAGAAATATGGATCAAAAAATGGCCCACTGTAAATGAGTTACAAGATACCTGTCATGGTTTATGTTGGTGGTCCCCAGGCCTCAAACATTTGCATTATGCATTTGTGATTGGTTCATTGTCTAGTGCTTGTATTGATGGTGTCAGTGCCACGTCCACATAGGGATGAAGCCAGGATGTAATGTAATGGCAGGAAGAAGGTGTGTCTCGCTCTCTTTTGCCAATTTCAGCCTTGCTGTTTGCAGCCACCATGAACTATGGCCCAGCCATGCCAGCCTGCCTTGGAGCCAACTGAGTATGGACTGAAACCTCCAAAAACTGTAAGGAATAAACCTTTCCTTTCTCAATTTTGGGCTTCAGGTATTTTGTCTCAACGATGAGTAAAAAGTAACTAAGACAATACCTGAGATTTCATGCTTCACTGTTTTGATGAGGGGATTCAGAGGTTTAGGGCAACAGGAATGCTGGAGTGGATTTGTCATGTTAAACCTAACTCAGAAAATGTACCC